CAGGGGAGCAGCGACCCAGTGGGGACCCCCGGGGAGAGGGGACACGGCCAGGCACTGGGGAGCCAAGGGGACATGGACCCCCCCCCTGCTCTAAACCTCCCCCAGCTCTGCTGCCACTCGTTAGCGTAGAGCAGAACATCCTTTCCCTGGTCATTCATCCCCGCTGCAGCTCTGGCTGAGAGCCTGCAGCCCCAGTGCCACCAGGACAATCCCCGGTGGCGTGGCTGGAGGTGGGGGTGGCACAGCCAGACCCCCTGCCACAGCCCCCGCTTCACCCCCATCCACCCCCGTGCCTGCCCCAGACCCCCCTGCCCAGCCCGAGCACGGCCCCCCCGACGGCTACGATGATGCTGGGGCCGCGCTGGAAGAGCCCCCCGCTCCCGGCACCGGGGACGTCTCCCAGGGGGTGGCACGGAGGAGCTGGAGCTGTGTCCCACCCACAGGTAAGAGGGGCCACGGCCCCCCTGTCCCCTGCAGAGCCACCTCCGGGGGGGTCACTTGGCTCTGGTGGCGGGCAGGGAGAAGGTGGCACATTCCTGGGGGCAAGACCCATGGGGCTGGCAGGAGGGGCACAAAGCAGCCCCTTCCCCCCCACCCCCAAAAGAGCCTGGCCTTTGGTGTCCCTTAAGGTGGGAGCTGCCCCCCGCCAAGTCCCCAGGGAGCCCCAAGGGACCCCCCGGGGGACACAAACTACGACGACGTGGGCATCAGCACCCTGGGGACATCGCCGTGAGGACGCCCGGGCCACAGCGCGGGGGTCCCTGGGGACACACCTGCAGGGTGGTGGGGCTCTGTCCCCAAGAAGGGGTGGCCCTGGCTACGGAGGAGGTCACCTCTCCCTGCCCAGGACCACAGCACAGCGACAGCACAGCTCCCCCGGCCCCCGGGCAGGCTTTGCTTTTATTATTTCATTCTCCATTTATCCTTTTCTTTCTTTTTTTTTTTCTTTGTTTCTCTATTAAAGCCCCCAACTGGGTGGACACTCTCTTCCAGGGCTGGCACCTCTCTGCCGGGTCCCTCTGCCATCCCGCGGGGACGTGGGGCAGGAGCTGGACCCACAGGGACATCCCTGGGGACGCAGGGACAGGGGGAGAGAGGAGGGGGAAGAGCCAGGGGACTGGCCCCGGGGCCTTTCTTTGTCATCGCCCAAAACTCTTCCCAGCGTGGGGAAACCGGGAGAGGGAAGGAGCAGGACCAGCCCTGCCCTGCCCCCCAGCAGATGCAGGCAGGACCCCCAAGTGTGGGGCAGGCTCAGACCCAGGGAGGCTTCCCCCCGCCTTCAGCAGCACCGCAAATGGGGCTAGAACTGGCTGGGGTTGTTGCGAGGGGCTCTCCTAAAGGAGGGGAGCCCCTTCCTGCCCCCCAGCCCCCCTGTGCCCGGCAGGACCCCCCGGTGGAAGGGCAGCCGGGCCATGGCCCCCGCCTGCGGCACCTCCTGCTCCAGGAGGGACCCGATCTTCAGGTGGGGCTTCAGTGTCCGCAGGGCATCCAGCTCCTGCAGCACTTCCTCGCTCAGCCCCGATGTGCTCAGGCTTGAAAGAGAGGGGAAAAAAGGGAGAAGAGCTGTGATAATCCATCCGTGTGCTGGAATGAAGCGGGGGGAGAACAGCCCCGAGGGGAACTGGGGGGAACCGGTGGATGAGAAGCTCAACCTGTGCGCTGGCAGCCCAGAAAGCCCCCCGCACCCCGGGCTGTGTCCCCAGCAGCGTGGACAGCAGGGCCAGGGGGGGATTCTGTCCCCTCTGGGGAAACCCCCCCATCCAGTGCTGCCTCCAGCTCTGGGGCCACGAAGACCAGAAGGACATGGAGCTGCTGGAGCGGGGCCAGAGGAGGCCCCAGAGATGCTGGGAGGGCTGGAGCCCCTCTGCTGGGAGGGGGGGCTGAGAGAGTTGGGGGTGTTCAGCCTGGAGAAGAGAAGGCTCCGGGGAGACCTTGGAGCCCCTTCCAGTCCCTCAAGGGGCTCCAGGAGAGATGGGAGGGATTCTGGATGAGGGAGGGGAGCCCTAGGAGGAGGGGGAAGGGTTGGACCCTGAAAGAGGGGAGATGGAGCTGAGCTGTGGGGAAGAACTTGTTTGGTGTGAGGGTGGTGAGAGCCTGGCCCAGGTTGCCCCGAGAAGCTGTGGCTGCCCCATCCCTGGAGGGGTTCAAGGGCAGGTTGGAGGGGGCTTGGAGCAACCTGCTCTGGTGGGAGGTGTCCCTGCCCAGGGCAGGGGGTGAAAACCCACCCTCTGCTCTCCTGGGCACCAGGACGCTGGTGTCCCCCTCCCCGTCTGGCAGCATCCGACCCCGGGGGTCAGCACAGGGATGCTGGGGATGGAAGAGGGACGTGCCAGGCACCTTACCCCAGGGCCTGCAGCGGGCAGGCGGGATGCCGGAGCTGCTGGCAGAGCTGCAGGACACCGTCGGCTCCCAGCTGGTTGTCGCTCAGGTCCAGGCAGGTGAGATGGGGACTCTCCACCAGCCCAGCGGCCAGGGCTCGGCAGCAGGCGCCCGTCAGCCGGCAGCTCCCCAGCCTGTGGGGACAAAGAGGGACACGGGCTTGGATTGAGCACTTGAGGAGCTGCTCTGGGTGGGCAGGAGGGGGACACCGGCCGGTCCCCCCCACCCCAGCCCCTTACCTCAGGCTCCGCAGCCGGCAGTTGCGGTGCTGGAGCCCCTCGCACAGCAAATGGACGCCGGCGTCGCGCAGCCCCTCGCTGAAGGACAGATCCAGCTCCTCCAGGCACGGGCTGGTGGCCAGCACGGTGGCGAGGTCCTCGCAGCAGGCGCTGCTCAAGCGGGAGTACCACAGCCTGCCCGAGACCCGCGGGAGAGACCCTCAGAGCCAGCCCAAGACCCCCCTGCTGACGGTCCCCACCCCGGGGCCACTGCTTTGGAGCTCCCCACCCTGGCACAGAGGGATGATGCCACCCCAGAGGGACTTTCTGGGGGCTCCAAAAGGCTCTGTGCTCCACCCGGGGGGTTTGGCCACCTGGGAGGTGCCCGTGGTTGTGCCCGTGGGATGCCGGGGGGATGCCCAGGACAGCACCATGGCCACCATTTGGGTTGAGCGTGGTGGGCAGGTCTCTTACTGGAGCGGAGATGCCCGGGGTCACTCACCGCAGGACGCGCAGGGGGCAGCCAGGCTGCTGCAGCCCCTGGCAGAGCAGGCGCACGCCGCCGTCGCCCAGCGTGCCGTCCCCCAGCTCCAGCCGGGCCAGGGTGGGGTGTTGGGCCAGTAGCCCCGCCAGCTCGGCACAGCAGCTCTCAGACAGCCTGCACCACTGCAGCCTGCGGGGAGGGGACGCAGAGAACGGACCAGCTCGTCACAGCTGCCTTGGCTGCCCACCCCATTCCCCCTGCAACCCGGCCAATCAGCATGAAGGGACCACATGCACCCACCACCTGACCAATCAGAATGGAAGGACCAGACCTACCTTTAGCACAGCCAATCAGCATAATCTCTCCTTGGATGCCAAAAGGGCACATGAAGCTGAACATGGGTGTGGAGGAGATGTTTTGGGTCTGTGATCTTTGCCCTCCCTGGCAGCAAACGCAATTTTCTGGGTCCAGCTATCCACCAATTGGAGGGTCAAATAGAATTCAGGGTCCACACCCACCCACCATATGGACAATCAGAATGGAAGGACCACACCTACCCACCATATGACCAATCAGCTTGCAAGGGCTCCATCCACCTTCCCATACCATGGCCAATCAGCATGGGGAGACCACCCCCAACCACCCCCACAACCAATCAGCATGGACAATCAGCATGCAGGGACCGCTCCCAACCACCCCCACAACCAATCAGCATGGAGGGACCGCCCTCACCCACTCTATAATCAGCATGGATGGACCACACCAACCCATGGCCAATGGTGGCCACGTGCCAGCAGCAGCACCGTGGCCACCATTTGGGCCGAGCGTGGTGGGCAGGTCTCTTACCGGAGCACCCGCAGGCCGCTGCCCGGGTGCCGCAGTGCCCGGCAGAGGGGCTGGATGGGGGTCTGTGGCTCCTGGTGCCACTGCTCAGCGAGGGGAAGGGGACCTTCTCCTGCTCCCGAGGCACCGGAGCTGCAGGGGGACAGAGAACCATGGGGGGACACGGGCAGCCATCCCTGGGAGGTGCCAGCTTTGGCAGCGGCACACAACCACCCCCAGGCAGAGCTCACCACCAGCTCATGGTGGGGGTCTCCTCAAGAGAGACCTCCACGGCTTTGGAGATGTGAAGGAGCATGAGCAAAGGTCAGCACCGGGGATCTCTCCTTGGATGCCAAAAGGGGGACATGAAGCTGAACATGGGTGTGGAGGAGACGTTCTGGGCTGGGGAGGTTGGGCTGAGATGCTCCATCTCCATCAATCCCACCACAGGCAGTGGATGGAGGAACCGGAGTGATCCTTGTTCTCCTCAAGAAAAAGTTTAATCCTCCACTGAGGAATTAAGCCCCCAGGGAAGGGACAAGCTGCTCTTTGGATGGAAAGAGCTAAAATACCTTTAAAACCCATCCGTTGGAGAAAGAGAAATCTTCTTGATTTTGGGTCACTAGGGCAGAAAAGGGCAGTACTTACCAAGGAACCGACGCGGCCACCTTGTCCCTGCTCTCCTGCTGGTGGAAGGAGCACCCCCGGAGGGTGACGCAGTCCAACCCGTCCCACTGCCTGATGCAGAAGGAAAGAGCCATTTGGTCGTAGAGGGAAAACTTGATGTCCTGCAGGTCTACGTCGGTGAAACGACCCAACGCACTTTGCACGAAGCTTTTGTTGTTCATCTCAAACAAAAAGTGGAAAGTGTCCAACTCCGTAACTTTCAGCACTTGGCCAGGCTGGGAAGTGACCCTGTGCCTCCCCTGAAGCCACTTCAGCGTATCTTCCCTGGCTTGTGGTGAAATTCTGCACCCAATGCTTTCATCCAGGTACTCTATCGATTTTTGGCTTAGCAGACCAAAGAGGAACCGCACCGTTAAGTTCAAATCCTCCCTGGATTCGCTGTAGCTTTCTAATAACCGATTTACGTCCTTTGTGAGAGGCCCCGGGTCACCAGCCATCTCCTCATCGTCCTCCAGAACGTAAAACATTGCCGCAAAAAACTCCTGGAGGTGCAGGTGGGTGAAGCTGTAGACGTTCCCGTGGCCTACGCCTTTCTTTGAGATCTTCTCGTTGAGGAAGAGGGGGAGGAGGTGTGGCTGGTCCAAGCCACGGTCCTTGATTTCCTTCTCCTCAAAGAGGACCTTGTGCTTCCAGATGCCCTCGGCGGCCAAGGAGCAGAGCTTGCCCAGGAACTGCTGGAGGTCCTGCGGGTTGTCCCTGCCTCTGCACCTCATTAACCGGGAGAGGTAAAACACGCTCATCCGCGTGGTGGCTTTAGAGCACTCGAGGAGGTTTTTCTTCTTGTCAAGCTCCTGTTCAAGGATGGTGCAGACTGTCCAGCTCATGACGGGGATGACACACAAACTGTAGAGGATCTCGTTGCCTCTGGCAAACCTGAAGGCCATGGTGGCTTTATTGTTGTTCTCAAAGTACCTGTGGAAATACTCCTCCCTCATGGCTGCCGAAAATCCCAGTATTTCTGCGTAATATTCACCCTCCAGGCACTGCCCCAGGCTTTGAAGAGCTGTCGGCCTTGTGGTGATGAGCAAGGAGGACTCGGGGAGAACGGTCTTCTTCAACAAGCTCATCAGGGTGGTTTCCAGCAGCTTCACTTCCCTGGGGTCAGAGCTCAGCTCAGCTTCGGGCTGAACCAAGGAAAATCCCAGGGCCTCGAAGCCATCAAAAATGAACAGGATCTTCTTCTGGTCATCCAGGATCTTCCCAACTGGTGTTCTCCTGTGAGGGCAGCACTTTGAAATGAGGTCTACCACGCTCGCTTCCTTGGTAAAGGCAATGTCTTTGCAGTCTATGCAGAAGACGTAGTCAAACTGCGTGTAGGAGGTCCCTTCCACCCACTCCACCATCACCTTCCTGACCGTCATCGTCTTCCCTGTACCCGGGGCCCCCACCAGCACCACCACCTGTGGCGTGTGCCCATCTTCGTCGGGTTTAAACAGTGTCTGCGCGGTGACGGCGATGGTGGCTGATCCATGGCCGGCCTCGGGACATCCATGGTTGGCACCCACAGCTTTGTGCTCACCTCCACGCTTGCTCCAAAGCTTCCTGGTGATGGTCAGGTCGGTGTAGCGGCTGCTGATGGACAGGTTCTCCCCCAGACAGGAGTTGACTTCTTTGTACCAGAGGAACTCCCGCACCACGTGCTCCTTGTATTTCCGCTTGTGGTCTGCGATGGTGAGAAGCAGCGTCAGTCCCAAGCACCAATGGATTCCCAAGGAGCTCCTGACCAGCCCCACCACCCTCCTGACACACCAAGGGGACCCTTGTTCCAACCCTCAGGGCTTTCCTAAGTCTGGCCGAAGCAATAAGGACATCGTCTGTGAGAATTTAAGGCCTCTGGCCAGTTGCGGGGGGGTTCTTGTCGTCTCTTCCCCCACATCCCCCTGATCCATCAACACCTGTTTAACCATCCTGTGATCTTCGCCCTCCCTGGCAGCAAACGCAATTGTCTGAGTCCACCTACAGCCTCCGTCCCCCTCTGCTCATGCCCCTGGTGCCAAAGGAACCATCCTTGGGCTCCTGGGGATGCCTCCAGCTCCAGAGTGTTACCAACAGTGAGGTTTGCAGAGATGTCCTTCATCCCCATCCCAGGAGAAAAGGCTCTGCTCCAGGAGAAGATGGAACCAGGCAGTAAGTGGGGACAAGGAGAGAAGAGGTCGCTAGAGCCCCCATGCTGATGGGATCACAGCAGGACATCTTCAGGTTTCCAGGCTCCCTGGGAAGCCAAAACCTTCTCTTACCAACTTCTACCTTCAAGGCCAGGCTGGACGGGGCTTTGAGCAACCTGGTCTAGTTGAAGATGCCCCTGCCCATGGCAGGGGGTTGGACTAGATGACCATTAAAGGTCCCTTCCAACCCAAACAATTCAATGATTCTACCTGTTTGTGGAGTCATTCAAGGGAAACAGAGGCAAAAAAGAGCAAAATACACACTGGCTTCCTACCTTTCACCTTCTCCTCCAGGAGTTTTTCCACAAGGTCTCTCTGGTTCATCTCTTCGAGCAGCCCAATGGCTATGTCCATCGCGGCGCCTTCGCTGTAGTTCTCGCCCATGCAGCCGACGAGGGCGCAGGGGTGGGCGGCCTTCACCAGCGAATCCTTGGGGATATTCCATTCCCCTTCCAGGTGGACCTTCGATAACTTCATCTGAAACTCCTGAAAGTCCTTGGGCGCGAGGCCCTGCAGCGCTCGCAAGAGAACAGCTAACGGACGCTCTTCCCCTGCCATCGCGGGATGTCACCTGGAAATACCAAAGGTGAGAGACCACGGCTGCACCACGGCCAGAGGGTTTGGAGATGGGCACCGAGTTTGTCCCGGTTCTTCCAGCGCTGGAAAGGTTGGGGACAGTCACCCCTGCGTGGCAAGGTCACCCGGGAAGGATCGGGCACCGTGGGGATGTTTCCCCCGTGATGGGGCATGGGGAAGAATAAAAACACCCGGAAAAAGAACCATGGTGGGGGCTTCTCACCAGAGGGGGCCGTCCCTCACCGGGCGGCGGGATGCCGGAAGGAACCAGGCGCTGCTGGAGGTCTCTGTCCCACACGTGGGCAGGGTTTTGCTTCAGAAAGCAAGGTTTTAGCCAACCTCCAGCACACCCTTCCTTCCTCCTTCCCAGCCACGGGGCCAGTGGCCCCCGTAGCACCGCCCGGAGGGGCCACGTGACACCCACAACAGGGCACCCAGCTCAGCAGGAAGCTGCTGGCTTAGGAAAGCCCCCACCGATGCTCGCAGCCCCTCTTCCTGCTGCACCAGTGGTGCAGGGACAGGACAAGAGATCACGGTCCTAAACTGGACCATAAGAAGTTCCACCTAAACATGAGGAGGAACTTCTTTCCTGTGAGGGTGGCAGAGCCCTGGCAGAGGCTGCCCAGAGAGGTGGTGGAGTCTCCTTCTCTGGAGACATTCAAACCCCACCCAGACACGTTCCTGTGGGGCCTGCTCTGTGTGGCCCTGCTCTGGCAGGAGATGATCTCCAGAGGTCCCTTCCAAGCCCACAGCATTCTGGGATTACGTGATTCTGTGAAATATCTTGCTCGTGTGGCTCTGATGCACCGAGAGCTTGTGCTACCCCAGCCTCTGCTCCGACAGGCACTGAGGGATGGGAATATGCCCTTCCTGCCCAGCGCCTTCAGCCAGGTTGCCCAGCAGATGGGTAAGAAACCAGCAGCACGAGGATGGAGCCAGAAATGGGGAGAAGATGGAGAAGGTTTTTTTTCCAAACCAATGCAGAATTGCTGAGATAGGATTGTGATATGGCTTCCCACCAGCCCTTTGTGGTCCCGGTGATGAGTTGCCCAAAGGCGGGGAAACCTCCCTGGGCTCAGCTGGTAGAGAGCAAACAGACAGGGATAGTAATTATGGCCAGTAATTAAAATCAGGCATTGATGTTAATGGACAGGAAAGGTGCTGTACAGACCCTGCAAGGACCAGATCGTCTCCCTCCTGCCCGAACTGAGCAAGAACCCAGTAATTAACCAAATATACACTTCATCAATGAGAGCACCAGATACGAGCAAGCTAAAAATAGTCCTCTGCTGCTATTAATAGAGCAGGAGAGCAAGTAGTGGGGAAACTACTGAAAAAAACCTCCATAAAACACCTCCAAATAGAGTATGGGGTATGACAGACACTATTAAGAGACGAACTCTCTAAGCAGAGCCCTTTGCTTCTCTTTGTGGACAGGGGTTGTGTTAATAGAGAAATAAAACAGTGGAGGTGTGACCAGAGGAAGGAGGATAGAAAGCATGATGGGAGATGAAGAAAATGAGATTTCTCATGCAAGCTCAGAAAGACAGTGGGAAGAAAAAAATCTATGTAACCCATGGTAAAGTGTGTGTGAGGCCTGAAAACACCACCAAGAATTGGTTAAATAATCTGGGAGATCCACGGACTCAGATTAACTGCTGCAGTCTCCAGGCAGGAGAAGGTCTGGACTCAACTCCTGGAGGCGTCCTGCTGTTTGGGGGTGACAAGGGGTGATGGGGAACAGCTATGGGTGAGACAGAAGCTGAGTATTAAGGCAAATTCCCAGGCTCAGCTGTCAGATTTACCCCATCTGGAGCTTTATTACAGCCTAAAATGAGGACAAGGGCCCGTGGCAGTGGGTGGGGAGGCTCCAGGTGAGGCTGGTTGGGGCTTTGAGGCTATTAGTAGCCCCTCAGGATCGGGGGGCTTGGATTTTCCCCTGCAAGGATGGTCTGTGCAGGGTGCTGAGCCAGGCAGTGCCCCAAGCAGGAGGAACGTCCTTCATCCCACTCCCCTGGGAATGCAGAGGTGAGGAAGGAGAAGTGGCTGCTGCCCAAATGGCCACGGGTTTTTGCTGCTCTCTGGCCTTTTCCTCCCCTCCAGCCACGGGTGGGTTGTAACTGGGGCTCTGGGAAGGGAGAGGGGCTGCTTTGGGGGTTTCTGATGCCCCGGGGTGACATGAGTGTGACCTGCCCTCCTGCTTCTGTTCTCCAGTTTATGAACAGGGTACTGGTTTCAGCTGGGAAAGAGTTAATTTTCCTTTTTAGTGATTGCTGTGAAAGGAATGTCAATAATAACTATTGTTTTTAGTTGTTGGGAGGTGGTGTTTACACTATTGAAGACCTTTTTCAGCTTCCCATAGAAGCACAGGAGGAAGGCTGGAATATTCCAAGTCAATATTCCATACCACAGACCCCATCCCCAGTATACAAAGTGGGGTGGGAATCCATGATCCCTGGGTGGGATGGTCCCAATTCACCTGGGGGATGAAAGTGACCAGGGTCATTATTATTGTTGCTGTTATTATTGTTATTTTTCCTTTTCTGTTATTGTTTCTCTTAAGTTGCCTTTATCTCAACCCACAAGTTTATGGCTGTTTGGGGTTTTTTTTCCCCCCTCCCTTTCCCTTCCTGGGTTAAGGAGAGGGTGAACCCACACTGAGGAGGAGCTGGGGAACTGGGGGCTGTGGGGGTCTGGCAGAAGAGGCTGTTGATCCCCCCCCTTCCCCAAACCTTGCTCAGGGCTGGCCTTTCATGAGGATGGTGGAGTAGAAAATGCTTCAAGGGGGTGTTATTTCTCCAAGCTGCCTTCGAGGGGTCCTGGGAAAAGGGGGGAAGGATGTTTTAAGTCACATTGAGAGCTTAAGGAAAAATCAGCTCCTTATTGACCACATCTGGGGAGCCCATTGTAAATGGAGCTGTGTCGAGGCTTGTGGGGTGCTGAGCACTTGTGGGGTCCCTGCTGGGAGGCTGCCCCTGCAAGGGAAGGGGACACGGAGGCCAGTGGGCTTTGCTGGGACAGGGCAGAGCTAAGGGGGGAGATGGTTCAACCCAAACAATGTCTGTTCAGGGTTTCACAAACCCCAAACAAGCCTCTGTGGCACCACGGGGTGGGCTATATCCGTCTGGCTCAGCTCCCCTGCTCTGAGCCTGCTCCCTTCTGCCTGCAGGAGGTCTGGGAATGACTCTTTCTCTCTGAAAGTGCCAGGGACACCATGTTCCTTCCCAAAGATGCTGCTGCCACCAAGTACCCCCCCAGCAGGGCTTGCTGGTGGGGCTCCCCAGCAGCCAGGGCTGTTCTTGTTCCCTCCCCAACTCACCCCAGGGTATGCTGTGAGCTGAGAGGGAAGGTGGGGGGGGAAGGGGGGGAAGCAGCAGCGTGGTTTCCGAAGGTTTTTCTCCCCATCTGACCTTGAAGAAGCCGTTTTCACCTTGCCCTGCCGCGGTGCCCGGCGCTCTCCCGTGCTGTGTTGGGGGGTGATGTGACCCACGGGCTGCAGGGAACCCTCCCCGTGCTGGGTGCCGGGGTGATTCCCAGAGCTGCCTGGCTCTGCTGCTGCTTTCCTGGCTTCTCCCCCTCTCTGCAGTGCAGGGTGGGGGTGTGTGTGTGTGAGGTTATTAGCGTTCCACCTCCTTTCCTTGGCTTCCTTTTTTTTTGGGTGTGTGTGTGAGGTTATTAGCGTTCCACCTCCTTTCCTTGGCTTCCTTTTTTTTTTTCCCTACATCAGTGCAAATATTTTAAAAATTCAAAACCCGTCCTAGAATACAGATCCAAAAAGCCTAAGGCAATTGAAGGCATCCTGGGGGGGTGTTTACCCCCTAAGGCAGAGGCAGCGTGCCTGAAGGTGAGGAAATGGCAGCCGGAACCCTCGCTCGGGGCTCATCCCGGCTCTGGGGACCGAAGCCGGCGATTTCCGCTCACCGGTGGCTGCCTCCTTCCTCCCGCCATGCTGAGGGGGGGCCATGGAGGCTGAGGGCGTTTCTGCCTGGTGTAGAAGTGGCCAAGAGGTTTTTACAATCCCCCGGGAGCCCGGGGATTTAGCCTTTCCTGCGTTAAATCACAGCTCTTCACAAACTGTGGGGAAACTCGTCCCCTCTCCCCCGCTGCCGGGGGTGGATGGGGCTCGGGAGGAGTGGAGAAGGGGAGAGCAGCCTTTTGCAGCCACTGAACCTTCACAATCCTGAGTGTGTCTGTCCCTGGGGGGGTTGGGGACCAGACAGGCAGCAGAAGGGGACGTTGGCACCAGCTGCAGCTGATCCTGGCTGGGCCAGTTTGTCCGAGCCCCCCCAGCCAGCTCCAAAGCCAAGGGCTGCATCCAGGTCACCTCGCTCATCCCTCTGCTCCCGGGGAGCTGCAGCCAAAACCAGCCCCTGGAGGCAGAGCCTTTCCCCAGGGAGATTCGGATTCACACATCCAGCCCTGTGTTTTCTGCCGTTTCCTTCAGAAAGGAGCAGAATTTTTCCTTCCAGGGGGATTTAAGCAGCCTGGGGGTTTTTTGAGTGTGTTGGCAGAGGCGAGACACACGCTGGTGTGGCTCTTGTGGGCAGTTTTGTGGAGTCAGAGAGAGAGAAGGAAGAAAATACTGTGTGGTGGGGTTTTGGGGTTTTTTCTTTTTTTTTTTTTTTTCTCTGGAGTTCCTGCCCTGCTGCACTGAGTTCGTTTGTGGCTGAGCTGTTGCTGTTTGTGGGAGGGAGGAAAACGCAGCAACCACGGAAGTGAGTTGTTCTGTGAGTGGCTGAGCTGACAGAGTTGGTTTCTCGTGGATTTCTGAGTATAACTGACTGTGTGCAGTTCTGGGCTCCCCAGTTCCAGAAGGACAGGGAACTGCTGGAGAGGGGACAGCAGAGGCTACAAAGATGAGGGGCCTGGAGCATCTCTCTGACGAGGAGAGGCTGAGGGACTTGGGGCTTTTTAGTCTGGAGAAGAGAAGGCTGAGGGGGGATCTGATCAACACCTATAAATACTGAAAGGGTGGGTGTCAGGAGGATGGGGCCAGGCTTTTTTCAGTGGTGCCCAGGGACAGGACAAGGGGAAACAGGAACAAACTTGAATATAAGAAGTTCCACCTAAATATGAGGAGGAACATCTTGACTTTGAGGGTGGCAGAGCCCTGGCAGAGGCTGCCCAGAGAGGTGGTGGGGTCTCCTTCTCTGGAGACATTCAAACCCACTTGGACACGTTCCTGTGGGACCTGCTCTGGGTGGCCCTGCTCTGGCAGGGGGTTGGAGGAGATGATCTCCAGAGGTCCTTCCAACCCCATATCATTCTGTGGTCTCCTTAAGATGTTTACACTCTAGAATGGCACAAAGCTGGTCAGTGGGTCCCATGTAACTGTCTGAAGGAAGGTGGGCAAGCATCCCACCACCTGATTTGCGGGGAAATAAGGGATTAAAGAGCTCTGTACGATCCCAGTTTGGGGGTGCAAGCAGGATTTGACCCAGGTGGTGTGAAGTGGGCCCTGTGCCCGTCTGGAGGAGGTGAGGCTGGGGCAGGGGGGGCTCTTTGCTTTCACCCAGCGTGCAGCAAAGCCCCGGTGTGGCTGAGGAGGTGGCTGTGTGTCTGGCACAGCCCGGCTGGACGGCTCACACTCCTCCCCAGCAGCACCTGGGCTACTTGCCCAGCTCTGAGCAGCCCTGGGGCTGCCCCAAACCTCTCACAGACCTTGTGAAGGGAGTCAGACCCCAGCCTGCTGGGGCAAGGGGGGGGGTTGGGGAGAAGGGAAGCAGAACTGGTAGAAAACTACCCCAAGGTGCAGCGTTTTAGATTCCTCCCTCTGCTGTGCAGAGCATCTCCTCAGCAAGAGAGATTTGTGCTCCTCAGCTCCCTGCTGGGGGATTGTCACACTCAGAAATTCCTCATCCTGGGAGGGGAGGGGGGGGAAAGCCTTGCATTCTTTCCTTTTTCTTTTTTTTTCTCTCTTGTCGACACACAAAAATCCCAATTTATCAGGTTTCCCCCCACTTTGTGACTGTAATCGCTGCAAACCCAGGCAGGATTTGGAGGAGGGAGGGAGTGAAGCAGGTTTTGGGGGGGGGGGGGGGGGCG